GTAAATTCTCATAAATGATAGTCTATATATTTAAGAAATTTTAATCCGAAAGCTAAGTATAGTAATATATGTATGTAATGCATATTTCTTTGCAGACCTTCTCTATTTCGATGCTTTTACGATTTTCACATCACCAAATTTTCGTTTTTATTGGTAAGTATATTACATTCGAAGTAATTTTTCCACACATTTTAATCGTTTATTTTTTGCAGTTGATCTCTTGCAAATGCTGGAATTCAATGTTACTGCACGTTTTCCAATAGCCCCGCTACTTACAGTAATTCTAGCCTTAGTTGGTAAGTAAATGAAACTCAAGTGTTTAAAAGCTATATTCATTTCTTAATATATCCGTAGTCCCAAATTCAAAGCCACGTAATAAAAAACACAAAGCAGGGCTTGTGCGGATATGCATTATAGTTTCGATAAAGATTATATTGCATGACCTGTTGGGCTCTTTACGCTTGAAAGTTTTCTGCAAACATATCTAAAGGTCTGAAAAAAATCGAAACTATAAAACACGAAGCTTTTCGAAAAGTCCCGGGAAATCCTGAAGAATTGAAAATTTTTAAAATAATATTTATTTACAGTCTGGTAAAAATAATTCACTTTATGCTGCAATTAAATATAATTTCGTCACGTAACCTTAATGGAAATGTTAATAATTCAGTCATTTAACTGATTATCGCCTAAAAACATTGATGAGATTACCTTTTACACCCTTTAGGAAAATGGATCATTTGCGCCTCAAACATTTTCGGTAACAATGTCGGATTTGAATTGGTTATTTTGATAAAACAAAAAATACAAATTGGACTGTAGGACTGACGGAGGGTTGTGAAGAGTAGATCACTCAATAAATGCGCTATTGCTAGGTTTTTTTTATATACAGGCAGGTTGTGCAATTCACTTCCGAGTGAATTTCAATGCCTTTCAATATGAATTCGAAGTGACTTTGGTTAAAATTTACTCGCATTATCCATAGTATGCTTGGAATTCTGCTTGGACATTGAAAATCGGCCAAGAAACGAAAGAGTTATTCCATTTGGGCTTTCATTAGAAAATCCCATTGGTATGATTATATCCGTTCAGAATTTAAGCACTTTAATTTGGAATTTTCAAGACTCCTTTTTAGGCTATCTGATGCCCGTTAGAAAATCGATACGGGGCGCTGTGATTTTTTTTGTAATGAAATATTGCGACCTTTAGGTGTATTTTTCAACAAGTTGGAACTTACGAATGAAACTGAATTGAGGTGAAACTTTTCGGTAGAAATCATAAACTGTATCATAACTTTATTCCGTGAGGCTTTTTAACGTAGCTACATACTTACTAAATACATAGTGCATGTATGTAATTGATTATATCATCTTTACTTTATATTTTAAGGTATGGAATCAATTATGTCTGAGTTTTTCAACGACACAACAACTGCGTTCTATATAATTTTGATTGTTTGGATGGCGGATCAGTACGATGCGATTTGTTGTCATACGAGTATAACGAAAAGACATTGGTTAAGGTATGTAAATTTCCACACTTTATATGTATATCCATCCATATAGAAATGTAGTGAACTAAATTGCAAACGAACGAATCGGCTCGTTTTTAGGATAAGTAGTAATTAAATTAAGCTGCCGGCGTATCTGAATGCGTAGAGGCTCGTGGTATCATTCGGCAGGTACCGGGTTCGATTTTCCAAATTTATAGACCATTAAAATAATAGTAAAAGTTTATTTCAAAAAGTTGTTCCACGGCACACAGTGTGGAAATTGAACTTTTTTCGTGACAAATTCTAATATCTCGAGAACGAGAACAGCTAGCGAAAAAATTCAATACGTTATAAGTAGGGATGGCAAAAAATAAAAAATAATCGATTAATTAATCATATCGCACACCTAGACCTAAAGTGCGATCAACTCCAACAAAAATGTGCGCGATTTTTTGCATAAATCAATTCATAGGATTTATATCCAACTAATGGAAATATTTTTGCCGGGCATTGGTTGGGCACATCTTCGTTCATTCTACTCAAGTAAGAGTTGAGCCTGCTGCAATAGCCAGAGCGAAGTTGGGCTATTGTAGTGCGGGTCTTCCGAGGCAGACAAAGTTCTGTCCCGTCCACGTCCGGTGGTGGTGTGCCTAGAACGGCATTCACAGGGCGGGAGTCTATATAACTTCAGACTGATTCCCTGTGAATGCCGTTCAGGGCCTGTCGGTAGGTTGACGGGTCCAGAAGTTGTTTGATAAACCTCTGGACTTCGTCCGTCAGTTCGTAAAGATTCCTCCTGACGTGCCGTGGCGAGGGCTCTTCCGCGAGCTGCTGACCGCTGGGATGGCCACGTCTGTGGTTCCCAGCAAGGAACTGCTTGCAGAGCATTATGTTATGCTCCTTTACTAGGAGTATCTGGGCCTCGTCATGTAGGTGGTGTTGGGGCGTCATCAGGAGGCATCCTGTCGTAATGCCGTGTTTTGGCAGGTCTGTAGCTTCATCCACTGCGTCCTGCTAGTCCCCGGTGACCATACGGGTGCTGCATAGTTTAGAACCGGCCGGCCAATTTCCTTGTATGTTGCCAACATCGTTTATTTATCTTTGCCCCAAGTGCTGCGGGCCAGCGACTTGACGACATTGTTGCGGCTCTGTACTTTGTTGACAATTGCGGTTGTATGCGCCGAGAAGGAGAGCAGACTGTCGAAGGTAACTCCGAGGTTTTTCGGGTTCAGTCTGACCTCCTTCGTCCAGGTGGTGAAAAGGGTTGCCGAGGATTTCGCAGGGGATAGGGCAAGGCTCCTTGCAGTGAAGAAGCGAGAAAGTTCGGCGAGATACCCGTTTACTTTCGAGCACAGGTCATCAATTTCATTCCCAGACGCCATGATCGAACAATCGTCAGCGTTGGAGTCTATATTAACACCCTCTGGTGGTGGCTGAGGAAGCTTTGAGATGTAATAATTAAACAGTAGCGGGGACAGGACACCACCCTGTGGTTCCCCCTGTTTAATTTTTTGTGGCTTCTAGTTTTGTCTCTGAAAATTACTGACGAGTTTCGACCACTCAGGTAATTCGCCGACCACCGTTTGAGTCCCTGTGGGAGTGAGGAGGCCTCTATGTCTTCTAGTAGCGTTGAATGACTGACAGTGTCGAACGCCTTGGACAGGTCCAACGCTACTAGAATAGTTCTCTCACAGGGGCGGTTTCGGTTTAGGCCACGAGTTATCTGAGTGTTTATGGCGTTAAGTGCTGTTGTTGTACTATGCACTTTACGGAAACCATGCTGATGCTTCGCTGGGGTCAGGTGGTTCGTAAAATACGGGAGCAGCAGGGCCTCGAGTGTCTTCGCTACCGGGGAAAGGAGGGTTATCGGGCGACAAGACTCTCCTTTGTTGGCTGGTTTCCCCAGTTTGAGCGGTGGGACCACTCGCCCCATTTTCCAGATGTCTGGAATGACGTGAGTGGCCATAGACAGGTTGAGGACCTCCGTTAGGTACGCTACTCCCGTAGGACCCAAATTTTTCAGCATCAACATGCATATTCCGTCGGGTCCAATGGCTTTGGAGGCTTTCGCCTTCCCGATGGCTACCCTTACCTCACCGCTGGTGAAAACACGAGGCGCACTAGGTTTTGGCATTTTGTGCAGCCTTCTGGTCACTTGACGCTTGGCTTTGTCCACCGGAGAATGCAGTATGAACTGCCGGCTAAATTAGCTCGCGCATCGCTCCGGGTCCGACGAGGCATGGTCGGCGAAAGAAATTTCGACTCTGTAGTCGTGCTTCGTCGGATTGGACAGTGACTTCACGGTTGACCAAAGCTTACTCACACCAGAGGTGAACTTACAGGTCTTCAGATGCTCTTCCCACTTCTTCCGCTTATGTACGTTCACTAGTTGCCGAATCTCCGCGTTGAGATCCCTGATACGGGGATTTCCGGGATCGGCCTGACGAAGGCTGTCACGCTCATCGGCTAGAACAGCCGCTTCGGCAGGGAAATTTGAACGTGGGTCCGTAATGCATCCTGCCGGTACGAAGCGAGCTGCAGCAGCAGTGACAACCCTGCGGAGCTTACGTTCACCTACATGAACGTCGGTTGGTATGGGTAGTGCTGTGAAGGCGTCCTCAGTAACATCCGCGAAGCCTTTCCAGTCAGCTTTGGAGAAGTTGACATAGGTCCGGTGATCCGCGGACGCAAAGTCGGTAGGTTTATCAAACGAGATGACTATGGACAGATGATCTGATGCTAAGGTCAGCATAGGTCGCCATGATATGCTGTTTATCAGATCAGCGCTGACAATTTTTAGGTCTGGCGAGCTGCATCAGCTGCCCATAATCCTGGTGCACCCAGAAAAAGGTTTAGTTATAATAACCAAGATTTGGTTATAGTGATCAAGTGGCATAGTTGGATATGGCGAAATAAATATATAGTTCACGAAAGTCTGCAATTTACTTAAGACTTCTAGTTGGGACAAATGTATATTTGTTAATAATTACAAAACGACTACCTTGATTGGACAATATTGTTAGTTGAATAAAATCATTGTTGAG